GTTTCTTTTGTACTTTCAATTGCATTTTAAGTTTAAATTACTTATTATCCAAATTACTCAATAAACACATATATTATCCTTTTTTAGACATTTAAACATTGGTTCTTTCATTATTATTATCTAACTTCATATATAAATCACTCTCATTGCTCACTTTATTGAACTAAAATCTTAAATCCTCTGAATGCTATGAAGTGACCATATGCTCTCATAACTTTTTGTGAGCACAAAAATAAAGCAGCTCCTTTTTTCACTGACTCCAGCATCTTAAGGTGGTGGTTGGTTTTTTTTAAAAGCATTTGGCCTTTGTTAATGAGATCACTATGAATGTGGTTGCTCACTTCTTATCCAGGTGGTCAGTGTGTTTGTGAATTACAGACACATCAAGAACATTAATACGTTCTCACACAAATGAAATGTTCATGTGCAAGTGTATAATCTTTTAATTGCGGTAGAATTATAATAAGGTAGAGCTGATACTTATACTGTGAATGGGAAAAACTTTTGTATTCCATGGGAACCTGCTTCATTAGGCAATCGGTTGCACAATATTTTTTCCAGAATGGCCACTTGTAAACATGTGATGACAGCTTTTTTGGGGGGTGGGGGTTTAGTCCTTCAGTTTTGCAGGATAGAATCCCAAACAAAAATTTAAAAATCCGAAAACGAGGGTTGGGGGAGAAAAAGTTACTACAATTTTGCTGATAAGTACAAAATCTACCAGACAACTAAACATTTACTGGAGTGTTCAGAAGCTCAGATAGTCAGAATTCTTCCGTCAAGTGTGGATTTTGTGCTTCACAACTATGCAGGTTTCTAAGCTACCTTATTTAGTGTGGTCTCGTTCTGAATGTCTGTTTCTGCCCTGGCCAAAGATGCTCTTGGAAGTGACCTGTTTTGTATGAAGATGCCCTAAATACTGGTCATTCATTAGTGTTGTTGCGTTAGGTGAAAACACTTGAGGGAGGTGGAGCAGAGGCAGCGAGGAGTGTGACTCACTGAGAGCTTCAAAGGGCAGATGAAGAGGACTGCAGTTGATCCCGGGGCTTGAGATCCCCCCACCCCTGCTCTACAAAGACCAGTAGCTACAAGTGGTTTAAAAACAAAGTTCACCAGAACGTGCTAGTGTTTAAACAATGCACTTTGCTGAGTTGTCTGTAAGTGACTGTGGAGGCCAATTCTGGATCCACACGTCCTTCCACAGTGGGAGCATTGGTTTCCGGGCGGGAGTTGATCACGGTGTGGATTTGCCAAGCGCGCCTTCCTCTTAGCACGTTTCTCCCTTGCGTCCTGAGTTCAAATGTCTTCAAAGCTCATGACACCTTTGGTAAAGGCTGTTCTCCAATTGGAGCACTCACAGGCCAGTGTTTCCCAGTTGTCAGTGTTTATACTACATTTTTTAAGATTTGCCTTGAGACAGTCTTTAAACCTCTTTTGTTGACCACCAGCATTACGCTTTCCATTTTTAAGTTCGGAATAGAGTAGTTGCTTTGGAAGACGATCATCTGGAAAGCATCTTAACAGGAGTGGGCATATATCTGCCTAGCAGGTGGTTCTAGCTTGAGGCAAGCTGCTTTTCAAAATAAGCACTTCTTCATAATTTGAATGAACCAGATTCTGCAGGTGCATTGTGGGAGGTCTTAATGTTTGCAACCTAGTATAAAATATCTCCTACATGCCCCAGGCAAAACCTTCAATCCTGCCAGCTATAAGAATGAGATTACAAGGGCAGCACAGAGGTGGCTTGTTCGCAAACACACGCAAGCACATACATAATGGACAGCCCTTTGGCTTTTAAAAATCAAAATCGATCCTCATCGGTTGTACTAAAATAGGGGTGGGCAATTTCCTTGTCCCCAAAGACTGCATGCCGTGGTGGACTATGGGCCACATGTCTGTAGTAGGCATGGCCTGGGCTCCCCCCACCCACTTACTCCCCAGCTTAGTCTCTCGTACTTATCCTTCCCCCAGTGTCTTAGTGTGGAGGGAGAGAGAGGTTTAAGCCTTCTCTCCTGGAGCACTGAGATCCAATAACATCTTCCTCCCTGCCGCAAGCTGCTGGGAATATTGCATCTGGGCAGTGAGAAAAGGAGGGCACATATGTTGGGAATTCAGGGAGCAAGCCATTGTGTGCATCTTGCACATCCTGGATTATTTGCACTCTTTGAATATAGTGGGTGGAATTCAATGTCACACTCCTCTAACCATTCTCTCTGCACTGAGCTGGGAGTTCTTGCCCCCCTGAGCAAATTTTGGAGGGTGTGTTGGGGGAAGAGGGGAGGGGGCAGCCCTGTTCCACTGATAGGGCTGGTTGGGTGAATTCCACCCAGAATGTTTGTTGGGAGACTAGTTCATGGGTGACACAGGCATATGAGCAATAGTGATGAACTGTATAATATATTGCAAGTCAGGTACACTAAGAGGGTTGGCTGGTTTGTTGCATGGTAGAAACAAAATGTATTTGTTTCTCCACTTAATATGAACCAAATGAAAGACTTGGGTTCTGCTCTTTCAACTTTTGAATGTTTGTTGGCCTTGTGTGTTAATTCTGAAGCTTCTGTTAGCAATTGGGAGGGCAAACAGTCCCAATTTTGATAATAGAATATACATTTTTATTCTTCTGAGGATACGAATTTTCTAGAATTGGTTTTTGCTTCAATTGTAATTGTATGCACAACTCTTAAATACAAACAGCAGATTGTAAATCGCCATCCTCCAGCTACTGTCATAATTATGGTAAGTGGTGAATTCTTAACACAGAAAGTCTATTGTGTGTGCTTATTCGTACCTGATATTGATCAAATACCTTCTCAATCTCCTTATAATCGCATTAAGACATAAGGTCCACTAAGGAGCAGTTTAATGTTCTTAACCCGAAACCGTTCTTAACCCGAGGTGCACTTTCGCTAATGGGGCCTCCCACTGCCGCCAGCTCAATTTCCGTTCTCATCCTGGGGCAAAGTTTGTAACCCAAGGTACTACTTCCGGGTTAGCAGAGTTTGTAACCTGAGGTACCACTGTACATTCTTCAAATGCATCATTCTACGGGCTCATAGAAGGATATTTTTTACCAACTTTAGCAGTTGTCATATGCTTGGGACAGCTGGTGCATTTATTTATTTTCTATCCTGCCCTTCCTTAGAAAGGAGCCCAGGGTAACAAACAAAACAGCAGAAAAACCCACAAAACATTTTAATAAGAATCACATCTCCTCACTGCTAGATAACTTCAAGAGTTCCAGGCACAATATATTTCAGCAGCCAAATGCTAGGGTACAATTGCAAGAATGTTAAAAACTCTGCCCAAAGTGGGAATTAAGATTAAGCCGCTGCTTTAAGTTGTAAGTATTGCTGGGATACTGATGCAAGCAGTTGAAATTCAGATTTAAGGTTCTGATGGAGTTTGAAAAAGCCAAGTTGTTGATTAGTTATGAGAATGCTGTATGGGTTATGGGAGTGGAGTGGGATGTGTACATACGGGTGAGTACTGCTGCAGTTTTGTGTGTGTGTGTGTGTGTGTGTGTTGCACTATTAAGAAATAAGTTTCAATAAACTTTGTAATTTGAAATCCCTGAAATTTCTACTGGTTTCTAAACAAGACTTTTCAGAAGAATGAGCTGAATTCACAATCATTTGGATTTTGAGGTTCAAACGCTTTGTTGTTTGGTTGTTGCTTTGATCTTCTAGGTAGTATTCGCTTGAGCTCATTGTTGAGCTGAGCATATTTATCAGTCAAACTCCTAGCCTGTCTGCCATTCTTCGTAGCGTGCCCATAGCCCCGCTTCCTTCATGCACTAGACTGAAAAACTGAACTCTGCAATTTCACTGAGCTAACGTAGCCTGTTGACGAAGAGGGTAATGGTGTGAGCATTGGCTGATTTATGTGTTCTTCATGAAAATGGAAAACTATATCATGACATAGAAAAGAGTTAACATCGGGCACCAGCCATTCTGTTTGCCATGGAGAGTTTGGGACTCCACTGAGGCGCATGTGACAAGGGGCCGCAACTTCCTTGCAACTTCAGACCTGCAGAAATAGGCTGAGATCATCCTGGCCATTGCTTAACTGTCCTTTCTACCTTCCCAGCTCCAAAGTTGGAAGGATGGCCAAGGCTTGTACATCAGCTGTCTGGAGTCATGCAGGCAGCAAAACGAGCAATATCCAGCCTTGTATTTTACAGAGCAGACAAGGGAAGGGGAAAGTGTGGGATATAAATTGAATTATTATTATTAATTCTGAAGGTGCCTTTGATTCTTTCTCCGCATTGACCCTTTCAATTGGGAAAGGTGAGTTGTGTGTTGGGAACCTTTTCCCCTTCCCTCCAGAAAGGCCATTCTCCTCAAACCAGCAAACTCCCATTTCTGAGGGAGAAGAGCTGGTGATTACAATTTTTGGCTTTTATACTTTTCCAGTAAGACATTGGGCTGAGGTCACCTACCAAGTCTGGTTCTGAGGGGAGGGTGAACTTCCAGAAAGAGTGCGCTGCAATGCTTGCACTGACGTTCCCCTTAGCACAACATTGAATTCCATCCTTTGTAGTTCTCTTTAATTTCTGTGTATTATATGTGCATGTAAAAACATGTAAACAATTGACTTGGCCAGCAAAGCCAGCCAAAAATTGTAGACCTTTTGTTAGAGTAGCATCTTTTGTTGGGATGAATTTGACTTTTCCACATGAGAGTGGGTATGCAACTATTGGTCATAAAGTTGGATGTGTGTGTTTTAGACCAAATCTGGATACTATATTCTCTGTTCCTGTAAGGTGTTGGTTTTTTAAAAAACTTTTTCTAAAGTTTACTTACCTGGCTCAACTTTGAAAACAAGATGGCTGAACAACTCAGTTTGTTTTGAACTGCCTAGAATCTGAGGGATATGAAGTGCATAAATGTAAACAGAAAACTGAGTGATAACAGACTTTTTGATCTGAATTCAAGCGCTTTGGGACAAAACGTTTTCAGTAAATTATTTTCTCCCCCTCCCTCTTCTCTCCCCCCTCCCAGTAGAAACTATGTTCCAACTTCCTGTCAACAACCTTGGCAGTTTAAGAAAAGCCCGGAAAACTGTGAAAAAAATACTAAGTGACATTGGTTTGGAATACTGTAAAGAGCATATAGAAGTAAGTACAATCTTCCGTTGAACTCTTGGGTTGCAGTTTAAATTGAAGGGCTGTATCTTCCGTTGGGAATATTATAAACTGAAGTGAAGTTTCAGGAGAACAGTGATTGACTGGTATTACGAAAGTGGCATGAGTTTTTTGCTTCTTGGCTGTACTCACTTATCAAGCCAAAAACTGTGATTATCTGCTTGGCTGCTACCCCACCAAGTGAGCCATCTCCTGAGAGAGAGAGAGACATGGAGCTTTCCCACCTAACCACTTCTTGGTATCTTTGCGGGAAAGGTTGGCGTTGGCTGGTTTCAGTCTGTGCCACCAAGACACACTGGTTGGCCTCTGGATGGAGAACTTCCGTCACATGCTGCACTTGTTATAGGGAGATGATGATGATGATAATTTTTTATTTGTACCTCGCCCATCTGGCTGGGTTTCCCCAGCCACTCTGGGCGGCTTCCAACAAAGACAAAAAAATACACTAAAATGTCACACATTAAAAACTTCTCTGAACAGGGCTGCCTTCAGATGTCTTCTAAAAGTCAGATAGATGCTTATCTCTTTGACATCTGGTTGGAGGGCATTCCACAGGGCGGGTGCCACTACCGAGAAGGCCTTCTGCCTGGTTCTCTGTAGCTTTGCTTCTCGCAATGAGGGAATCACCAGAAGGCCCTCAGCGCTGGACCTCAGTGTCTGGGCAGAACGATGGGGGTGGAGATGCTCCTTCAGAGATGCCTCGTAGGTAAGAGGTCCAAGGAGTGTTGCTGAAGAAACTCCCAAGGAGTAGTTTCAAGGCAAAAGGATGATCTCTCTGTGTTAAATATCACAGCATTAACTGTGGTAGTCTACTAATGTAGTACCCGTGCCTCAAACTGCTTCTCCCTCTGCAGTGGAGAACCTCTTCTGCCTACTGAAGGGTGGAAAACCAACCGTGAAACTGAGGTGGTACGGCTAGCAGGCAGGAAAGGAGAGGGAGAAAACAGGAGATGCTACAGAATACTGCTTATTGCAAGCCCAACACGTTTTGGAAAACCTTGCTGGAGGGCATGTTTTTATCAACAGTTCTGACACACCTGGGGTTACTGCAGTATCCTTTGTATGTTAGAATTGTTGCTAAAATCTGCCCCTGAGAAATGATTTTTTTTCCAAAATGCATTGGGCTAAAAATGAACGCTGTCTTGTAGCCCTTCGAGTCTCCCCCCCCCCATCTGCTGAATTGTGAATCTGACTTACGCATTTCAAAACCATGCAGCTGTAATACTAGATTCTCTTGCTTAGCTACTACCAAAGTTTTAGATTACTTCAATTAAATGGGTGCGTGTGGTTTTTGCATATAACCAACAAAATGGGTTGATGCTAATGCCCAATTTACCAGTAATAGAATAAACAACAATGCACACTGTGTCTGTTTAGTGTTCACAACTGCAGCACTTAGAAGCAGCTATGATTGATTTCATTGGGACCAATTTAAGCATGAAATACTGGACAAGTTATTCCACAATAAATTTGTCAGTCTCCAATGTGCCACATGACTTTTGCTTTTGGACAAACACTAAATGCATATTTTGAAAAATGTGGGCTGAAATTTCATGTTATCTGTGATTTTTCACACAATCGTTTCTATTTTTTGTAGTCTGGTATATAGATTCTGCTCCTGCACAGGACAGATCTAGGAGGATTCTAGCCCTCTGGCCAGGGAACTAGTGCTCATGCCTTCTCCTTTTGAGAAGGATTGGCAGTGAGAGCAGTTTCATGCTCTGTGATCTTCTGGAGAGCATTCTCAGTAATGTTCCCACTGAGCCTAGCTTTTTAGAGACTACTCTTTCCGTTTCTACGCCTTTTACTTTAAAGTACAAATAACCTGTCAACACACAAACTACCGTACTTTTCTGTCTATTAGACGCCCCCATATATAAAACTCCCCCCTATTTTGGGAGACTCAGTTTTGCCACTATCCATGTATTAGACGACCCCAGTTTTTTGACATGATTTTTCTGTCAAAAAACCTCGTCCAATACACGGAAAAATACAGTAATCTATGCTCCTGCAAATACTTACTTGCTCATACGGTCTGGCAAGCTCATTCCCTCAAATAATTTTTCATATGTTATTATCTGTATGACTTATAGATTGCATAAAAAAATTAAACTGACTTCGTAGGGGGAAACGAACAGGGGCCAGACAAATTTAAGCAATTTAAAGTCATCTTCATTTCAAAGGACTGTTAAGTACCTGTCTTCTATTGAAGTGGTTGTATCATGCCCTTAATTAGTAAAAAAATAATAAGTGCATTAATTAGTAAAAATTATACTCCCTGGAAAGTTTTCTGTTAATGAGCCCTTTTATTTGTAATTTTTGGTACCTTAATAATTCTTCTTGAATTTTCAAGAGCTAAAGAAATGAATAGGCAATCATTCTGCGGTTTGTTATTTCTATTTATGCTTTTGTAAATCTTCCACTGTTGCAGGATTTTAAGCAGTTTGAACCCAATGACTTCTATCTGAAAAACACTACATGGGAAGATGTTGGATTGTGGGATCCTTCACTTACAAAAAATCAGGTTGGTAATAATGTGGTAAAATGACCTTAAATCTGAAACCAATTCCAAACCAATTAAGTTTGGAATCGTGTTTTTATGACAAACGTTAAGTGCTTTACAACCTAAATTATATCTGTTTACGAAAGTAATAATTCCCACTGATTTCAGTGAGATTTATTGCAAGATGTGTGTGCACAGGATTACAGCCCAGATGTCAGCAGAGGTGGGACAGAAGAAAAAGAGTGTTATAGTATTATGGGGACTGGTCACTATGGTCTCTGTGGAAACAACAGTTGCTGAGTGGTGTCTCAGGACTGATTAGTTCTTTTGAAATCTTTTGGACTTGAGTTTGGCAGTGAGTGTACTCCTGAATATGACTTAGTTGGATATCTAGTAGTTCAACATAATTGAAGAAATTTAAACTTAACTAGCAAATTTGGTGCCCCTTTTAAGATAAGCAGAATTGAGAAAGAACTGACAGCAGGTAGTTCAACTCTGATATACTACCAAAACATTGTTAAAGAAACTTAACAATGGTTTGGTGGGTCTGAATTGACAAAGCATAGTGTATACAGTGAGGAGGGAAAGTATTTGATCCCCTGCTAAATTTGCCCGTTTGCCCTCTGACAAAGAAATGACCAGTCCATAATTTTAATGGTAGGTTTAATGTAGCTGTGAGAGACAGAATAACAGCAGGGAAAACCCCAGAAACCCAGAAGACAAAAGTCAGAGATTGATGTGCATTCTAATGAGTGAAATAAGTATTTGATCCCCTATCAACCAGCCAGATGTCAGGCTACCTGGTATCTTCACTGTATGTAACGAGCTGAGAGTAGAAGCACCTGCTGTAAGGGAGAGGTCTTACCTGTAATCCCACCTCGTTACAGTACCTGTACAAAAGAGACCTGTCGACAGAAGCAATCAATCCAGCAGATTCCCAAGTAGCCACCATGACCAAGACCAAAGAGCTGTCCAAGGATGTCAGGGACAAGATTGTAGACCTGCACAAGGCTGGACTGGGCTACAAGACTATTGCCAAGCAGCTTGGTGAGAAGGTGACAACAGTTGGTGCAATCATTCGCAAATGGAAGAAACACAAAATAACCGCCAACCTCCCTCGGTCTGGGGCTCCATGCAAGATCTCATCTCGTGGAGTTGAAATGATCGTGAGCAAGGTGATGAAGCAGCCCAGAACTACACGGGGGGGAACTTGTCAATGATCTCAGGGCAGCTGGGACCATAGTCTAAGGTTATCAGATTTTTTCCAGTAAATCTGGGGACGCAAATAAATATATAATTCTAATATAATATAATGTAATATAATATAATATTTATTTTAAAAAGAAAAAATATTTTTAAAAATTAAGAAAAAAGTCAACACCACAGATCAAAGTTTGCTTTAAAACTGAGCTGGTGAGGAGGTCCTCTCTGTGAGTGGGCAGATGGCCCCCAGTGGGGGCCCCGAGATGCAGCCGAGCCTCCTGCTCTCACTGTGGGGCTGCCCCAGCGCTCCCTGCCACTGCTAGATCGAGCCCAAAGCTTTGGCACGAACACACCCACCCCGCACTGCTTCTTTCTCTCCCCAGCCCACCTCCCCCCCAATCCCTCCTCCTGTCCTCCCCAAAGCCATGCAGCCGCAAGCAGCACAAATGGAATGGAAAATGGCCAGTGGTGGCAGATCGAGCCTTTAGATTATTTCCTTCACGTTTGGTACTTAGTTGTCTCTAATTTGCTTTTATTTGCCAGATGCCCCCCTCCCCTCCCACCAGCTTGGCTGGGTGGGTGGCGGCGGCGAGGAGGCAGAAGTAGCGCGGTGGTGGAGAAGAGAAGAATATATATGTGTGTGTGTCCCCCTATATTTTTTGGCTCCCACCGCTTCTCTACATGATAATATGTTTATATGATTAGCTGAGCTCAGGGGTGGGTAGAAGAGAGAGAAAGAGAGGGGGTGGTGTTTGGCGGAAGAGGTGGAGGCTGGAGATGGCTCCAGTTCAGAGCTAGTGGAGAGTCCGTGTCAGGACTTCGCAATCCCCAGTCACACACACAGAGAGAAGTGCATGGACGAAAGGGAGATGGCAATACAATTCACTGGGATTTTTCAGCGTCAAGGACAGGGGAGAAGCAAGCAGGGTGGGGGGAAGCGAAGCTTGAAGAAGGGTTGGAACTGGATCCTGCCAGAGGCCAGGATGCCATCCAGGGAGATGTAAATGAGGCCGACGGGGAGAAAGGGGGCTTTTCTTTCCGATTTTTCCTCTCTCACGCGTGTGCCTGTGCTTTGCAATCACAGCGGCTTCTCCCCACTTCGCCTCCCCGCCAAACAATTGAGTTGATTCTGGCTGCTCCTGTTGGCATCGTTGTTTCCTGGGGACATTTAATGAAATCTGGGGACATTCCAGGGGTGGAATTGGTCCGGGGAAACATATGCAAATCTGGGGGTTGTACCTGGGAACCGGGGATGTCAGGTAACCCTAAGATAGTCACCATGAAAACAGTTGGCAACACACTACGTCGTGAAGGACTGAGATCTTGCAGAGCCCACCAGGTCCCCATGCTCAAGACAGCACGTGTACAGGCCCATCTGCAGTTTGCCAATGCACATCTGAATGACCCAGAGGAGAAGTGGGTGAAAGTGTTGGTGGTCAGATGAGACCAAAATCGAGCTCTTTGGCATCAACTCAACTCGCCGTGTTTGGAGGAGGAGGAATGCTGCCTACGATCCCAAGAACACCATTCCTGCTGTCAGACATGGAGGGGGACATAATTATGCTTTGGGGGTGTTTTTCTGCTAAGGGGACAGGACACCTTCACCGCATCGAAGGGACGATGGATGGGACCATGTATCGTCAAATCTTGGGGAAGCACCTCCTTCCCTCAGCCAGGTCATTGGAAATGGGTCGAGGATGGGTATTCCAGCATGACAGTGACCCAAAACACACGGCCAAGGCAACAAAGAGTGGCTCAAGAAGAAGCACATTAAGGTTCTGGAGTGGCCTAGCTGGTCTCCAGACCTTAATCCCATTGAAAATCTGTGGAGGGAGCTGAAGTTTCGAGTAGCAACACATCAGGCTCGAAATCTTACTGACTTGGAGAGGATCTGCAAAGAGGAGTGGGGCAAAATACCTCCTGAGATGTGTGCAAACCTGGTGGCCACCTACAAGAAACGTCTGACCTCTGTAATTGCCAACAAGGGTTTTGCAACGAAGTACTAAGTCATCTTTTGCAAAGGGATCAAATACTTATTTCACTCATTATAATGCACGTCAATCTCTGACTTTTGTCTTCTGTGTTTCTGGGGGTTTTCCTGTTATTCTGTCTCTCACAGCTACAATAAACCTACCATTAAAATTATGGACTGGTCATTTTTTTTGTCAGAGGGCAAATGGGCAAATCTAGCAGGGGATCAAATACTTTTTTCCCCTCACTGTAATTATGGACTGGTCATTTTTTTGTCAGAGAGCAAATGGGCAACAAACTATAGCTTGTAAACCATAATTTAGTTTGCAAAGCGTAAACTATGGTTTAGCATGATTAATGAATTGACAGACCATAGTTAATGGTTTTTTGTTTTCCTTGCAGAAGCTGCTGTACAATAGAGAGGAGTGAATCTGTAATTTATGAAACTAAGAGGGCAGAAAATGAAAGCAGTCTAGCAGCCTTGAATTATGGTTTGGCTGTTGTGTGTTCGGAATCTCAAAACAGTGATTTCAGTTACACACTAAATTTAGCACAAACCATGGTTTGATGTCTGAAGTGTCAGGATATATTTACCGGAGCAATCTGAGTTTATCTAGTTACAGAGTGTATCAGATTGAAAGTTTGGAAACTTTGATAAAGCCATAATTAGATGTTGTACCAATACAGAGATTCTAAAAAGAATTTGTGCATGCCTAAGTATTTTATCACTGCTTGAGAATCTGGTATACGCTGATGAATCACTGGACTGGTTCAGATATATTGGGAAACTGCGCTTTCGTGTTATGAGAACATGTGGTGGCACAGCTTAGGTTTCTGTGCTCTCCCATTACTTCTCTGTACATGAGAAGACGAAATGGAAAGCTGCTTTCGTTGTTGAGCTCAATAGAAGCCATGTCCTGGTGGGTGTTTTTACTGCTGTGCTGCATGATAACACTTATGTGAGAGAGAATAAGAGCACCCTTACAAGCCCTACTTCCTCCGAAGCATATTTTTTTTTCAAGTCTTCCACAAGTTGGGAAGATCAGGTTCTGAAACCGGGAGCCTCCTTTACTTCTGGAGGCTCCTTACACAATTTAAAACCCTTAGTTTGAAAGTGGTGTGGCTCTATGAAGCTTTCAGTCTCCTCAGGCACAAAGTTGCAGGAGAAGGGTGGAGGGAAGCATGCAGCCCAAAGGTCACTGCAGCTCGTTCTCTTAATGGGAAACCATGGTTTGTAGCATATGCTAGCCCTACTCAGAGTAGACCCATTGAAGTTAATGGACATGGCTAACTTAGGTTCATTATTTTCAGTGGGTCTCCTCTGAGTAACACAAGCATAGGATACAACCCATGGCTTCCTATTATGTCTCAAGCAGGCAGCTGTCTTGGTTTGTAATGCTTGATTTGCAGGGGCTGAATGATCAAAAATAAGGAAGATGTATTTCTGTGGTTTAGGACTAGTCTTCTTTCTTAAAGACTTTCTATGAACTGCCTGATTTTTGCCAGCTTAAAAAAAAGAACGTTAAATGGATGATAGTTTCATAAGTTTGCCTTGAGGCTGTGATGCATTGAGTCAGAAGGATTAGGAAAGGGAATGCAAATCAAATGCAGTTTTTCTGATACTTGTTTCTTTTTTTTTGTTTCGTTTTTAAGGACTATCGGACAAAACCCTTTTGCTGCAGTGCATGTCCATTTTCCTCAAAGTTCTTTTCTGCCTACAAAAGTCACTTCCGGAATGTTCATAGTGAAGACTTTGAAAACAGGATCCTTCTCAATTGCCCCTACTGTACTTTCAATGCAGACAAAAAGACTTTGGAAACGCATATTAAAATATTTCATGCTCCAAATGCCAATACACCAAGTGGAGGCATCAGCACTTTTAAAGATAAAAACAAGCATGATAGCCTTAAACCTAAGCAGGCTGACAGTGTAGAACAAGCTGTTTATTACTGTAAGAAGTGCACTTACCGAGATCCTCTCTACGAAATAGTTAGAAAGCACATTTACAGGGAACATTTTCAGCATGTTGCTGCACCTTATATAGCAAAGGGAAGTGAGAAGTCACTCAATGGGATTGTACCCTTAAGTTCCCGAGAAGAGGGCATGATTCACTGCAAACGCTGCCTTTTTATGCCGAAGTCGTATGAAGCTTTAGTACAGCATGTTATTGAAGACCACGAGCGTATAGGATACCAAGTGACAGCAATGATAGGGCATACAAATGTGGTAGTTCCAAGATCCAAACCTTTAATGCTAATTGCTCCAAAACCACAGGATAAAAAGCCTATGGGACTTCCTCAGAGGATGGGTGCCCTGTCCCCTGGAAATGTCCGGTCTCTTCCATCACAGCAAATGATGAACCGACTGAATATACCAAAGCCTACGTTGAATTCTGGAGGAGTAAATATGATGTCCAACGTCCATTTGCAACCGAACAACTATGGTGTGAAATCGGTACCGCCAAGTTACGTTGGTCACACGGGAGGAAGGCTAAGTTTAACAGGTAGTTCTCCAGTTTCCCTATCCCAGCAGTCTCAATCAATGAAGCAGTATTCCCCAAGTGGAAACGGCCGACCTTACCCTCTCGGAGGGGAACCAAGATCGCAGGCTACAGCAAGGTACTCTCTTTCGTCTGCCAACTCATCTTCACTTTCATCGGGCTCACTGAAATCAACATCATTAGGTCAGTCTCAGGCAGCATCCAGAATATTATCGCAGTCCACACCCAAGCCTCTTGCCGTTGGCCCTATATGTACCACTTCTGCCAATACTTCATCAACTCAGAAATGGAAGATTTGTACAATCTGCAATGAGCTCTTCCCTGAAAACGTGTACAGTGTTCATTTTGAGAAAGAGCACAAGGCCGAAAAGGTGCCCGCAGTTGCTAACTACATCATGAAAATACATAATTTTACTAGCAAATGTTTATACTGTAATCGCTACTTGCCTACTGACACGCTGCTCAACCACATGTTAATCCATGGTCTGTCCTGTCCCTACTGCCGCTCAACGTTCAATGATGTTGAGAAGATGGCTGCTCACATGCGAATGGTTCATGTCGATGAAGAAATGGGGCCCAAAACTGATTCCACGTTAACGTTTGATTTGACGTTGCAGCAGGGTAGCCACACCAATATACACTTGCTTGTAACTACCTACAACTTGAGAGATGCTCCTGCCGAATCGGTCGCTTACCATGCTCAAAATACTGCTCCAGTTCCTCCAAAACCACAGCCAAAAATTCAGGAGAAGACAGATGTCCCTGTAAAAAGTTCTCCTCAAGCAGCAGTCCCCTACAAAAAAGATGTGGGGAAAACCCTTTGCCCTTTGTGCTTTTCAATCCTGAAAGGACCCATTTCTGATGCACTGGCCCATCACTTAAGGGAGAGACATCAAGTTATTCAAACAGTTCATCCGGTAGAGAAAAAGCTTACGTATAAATGCATTCATTGCCTTGGAGTGTACACGAGTAACATGACTGCCTCAACTATAACCCTGCACCTTGTCCACTGCAGGGGTGTGGGGAAGACTCAGAACGGTCAAGACAAAGGTAATGTTCCCTCCCGACTAAACCAGTCTCCAGGTGCAGGACCTGTGAAACGTACTTATGAACACATGGAATTCTCTCTGCTGAAGAAAAGAAAAATGGATGACGACGATTCCCCTTCCGTCTTTGAGGAGAAGCCTGAAGAACCCGTAGTGCTGGCTTTAGATCCCAAGGGTCATGAAGATGATTCGTACGAAGCTAGAAAAACATTTCTCACCAAGTATTTCAATAAGCAACCGTATCCCAGTCGGAGGGAGATTGAAAAGTTAGCTGCCAGTCTCTGGCTTTGGAAATCCGACATTGCTTCACACTTCAGCAACAAAAGAAAGAAATGCGTTAGAGATTGTGAAAGGTATAAACTGGGTGTCTTGCTAGGTTTCAACATGAAAGAACTGAACAAGGTTAAACACGAAATGGATTTTGATGCTGAGTGGTTGTTTGAGAACCACGACGACGAGAATTCCAGAGTCAATCCTAGCAAAACTGTTGATAAAAAGATAAACCTAGAGAAAGATAATGAAAGTTCCTCAGACAGTTTTGAGAATATAGAACAGGAGTTCAACGAAAGCAATAGTCCATTTGCAGAATCTGTGTCTAACTCTGGTCGCAAAACATCTATTAATAGTATAAATGAGACACCAGATGAAAGCATATCTAAGGAGACAACTGAAGAAGCCACTTTGGAGTCTCCGGAAAAAATAGACCAAAAGGAGGATGGAGACCCAAAATACAAGGAGAGTAGCTCTGCAGAAGAACCAACAAAGCTGGTAGCTGAAGGTTCAGACAGTGAAGGTGACCAAGAAGATCAAGATGATCCCATTGAATGGAAAGTAGAAGCATCGCCATCTGAAAGCGTACCTGGTTCTCAGCAAGTGTCTGACTTTGAAGATAATACATCTGAAGTGAAACCAGAAACGTGGACGGATGAATCATCCCAAAGTGAAGATGCTACTAATAGTAAACCAGTTGCAGAAACTAAAGGTGCCGCCTCTGAGAGTGACGAAGAACAGTCAAAGTGGAAGAATAGTTCCTATGGAAAAGTGGGCGAGTTTTGGTCCAAGGACCAGTCACAGTGGAAAAATGCAACAGAAATCGAAGAGAGCTTGTCAAATCAGCAGATGGAGTGGCAGAACAGCACAATTGACAGCGAGGATGGAGAACAGTTTGACAGTGTGACTGATGGGGTTACGGAATCGATGCACAGCACCCTAACTGGGGTAGAGCTGAGTAGTCAGCAAGCATAAGCTGTTAAAACTCGAGACTCCATATCTTCCACTTGACAACCGTCTAAACATTTTCATTTCAGAACGACTGCTAAGTTCATTGTAAACTGGTACTGCCTTTTGAATGCAAGGTCACCTGGTTAGCGGCTGCAAGGCTGCCACACCGATTCCAGTTCTTATTTCAAAGTATGCTGTTGGCAAATCTCACTTGAGAGTATCTGCTGTGACGAGCACAGTAACTTAATGTGAAAATGGATATGTTGGTGGCTCCCAGTTGCTCACTGAAGAAAAGCAAAGGTTTTATTTTATTGGCATTTTCAACATATTTCACTCTGTATATGTTCAGCTGTATGTCTTTTTAAACATTACCCTTTTTCACATGGTAGTTTTAGGGCCAACATATGAGCTACCAATTCAATGTGTATAGTAGGACTCTGGGGAAATTGTTTTTTTTTCATGTATCATTCTGAATAGTTGAAATGTATATTTGTACAGTCTTTTAGACCTATTCAAGTGATGCTTATGCTATTGTTCTTGTGTACCCATCATAGATTTGGTTCTTTTTTCCTTTTTTTTAGTGTTGCCCTGCTGTGTAATAAATGCTGTATCTAGTTTACCTAGCAAAAAGCTTGAAACTGCTATAGTAAGAATTTTGACAGACTTAGTTTTTGCACATAACCTTGTACAATCTCAAAACAGAGGCCAGCAACATAAAAGTATATCTGGACTCTATTGTATTATAGAATTTTCTTGTTCTTGAATATCCTTGACATTACAACTGATGACTATGTATTTCAGAGCCATTTTCTGAAATCTTTTAAGCTAAAAAAAAAATCACATGCAAGAAACAAGTTTGCAGCTACTAATTTTGACACCTTTTAGATCTGTATAAAAGTGTACTGTGTTAAAGCAGCATACGGAAATGAGTGCTGCATTTTTGGATATTTAGTTTTATCTTTAGTTAACACCAACATGGTGTTGTATTCATTTATACCATCTAATATATGACACATTGTTGTAGTATGGATAATTTGTGATCTTTATTTCCCCTTTGTATTCATTTAAGCATCTAAATAAATTGCTGTATTGTGCTTAATGTAAACATTTGCTTTATTACAAGGTCTGCATCCCTCATTCTAAAAATTCTGCTTCATTATGTTGGCTTTTGTTGAAAGGAAGCAATCTTGGATGATGATGCCTTGAGAAAATGAAAGATTTCTGCTGGAGCAGTCTCATACAAATCACAATAGGTGGCCTATATGAAAACGAATCCTATGCAGCCTCAATCAAGTAATAGACAAATACAAATGTAAAAGACCATATAGATTAACTGATGTGCAAATATGCAGCGCAGCCAATTTAAAGTTGAGCATTTTAAAGACCCATTGCTTTCTGTGGGGAAGTTAAATGTATACTTAAAGATGGGGCAGATGAGCAACATGAAGATAAATTAAGGTAGTAGTGAACATTGGAAAGTGTTCATATATCACATATTTTTAATATAATTCATGCATTTATCAGCAAATGTTAAAAGTAATATACCAGGGGCATCTTATTCCATACTAGGAGTGAATACGTAATGATATGTATTTTCCCCTAACGATAGGCATAGGAAAAAAATACTCCCAACATCCCAGTTTGTACAGAGACCATTCTGTTCAAGTGACACAGCTTACTCATTTTCTCAGTTATTGAAAAATGTAAATGTTTCCTCCTTTTTCTAAGACCTCACTTGTGCGGAAAGAAGCTTTTAAAACATCATAGTTTTGCTTCATTGTGTTGCGATGTGCTGGAGTCAAGGATGCATCTTGTTCTAGCAGGAAGCGGCAAGAATACAACCTGGGCAACTGATAGTGGTGGACTCATAAGGCAAAAGCTCACAAGAAACCTTACAAACATTCTGGTGATATATATTGACGACTACTTTTGCAGAGGAGGGTAAGTTAGTCTGTATATTTGCAAGTTTTTTTCCTACTAGTCACGGATATAAGCAGGTATTAGACAAGCTGGCAGTTCCTGGCAGTCAGTTAATCAGGTATTTGGAGTCAACCACAAAGCAATTAGGTCCAACTTGCATATTCCAGGCCACAGCCTGCCATGGACATAAAAGTCTAATATTTGCACTGGTGCCCTTGAAGCAGATACTGTTTGTATTCACCCCCTCTTATGCCACATGTACTTGCATAACATTTCATAGGTTCTAAACTACTTAAACAGGACCTACTCATTTTCTGTTTCATTTTTGGTTTATGCCATAACTACTTCACAATTGCAGCATAATTTGTGAGTGTGTAATGCAGCACCAATGTAAAAAAAAAAGATTTTAAATTTTCACACTAGGTTTTTTATTTTGTGCACATGATAGTATAATAAGAAACCAGGTGTTCCGCCAGATGTAGGCAACATGATTCTAAAGACATTTTTGTGAGCCCTCTTGGGTAACCTTGGATGAGCAAGATTGCTTTCATTTTATATTGCATTCATGAAAATCAATAGACTGCAGCAGTCTGATCATATATTTTTAATATAGCTTTCAGTATTGATCAATTCACTCGAAAGGATACAGTCGTTTACTTCTGTAGTCTAAAATCTACATCTCCAGAAATTAGTAATAGTTGTGTCAATGTGCATCGTTAGTTGTACATGTCTTAAATGTTCTAAACAGTCCATTGCTGTTGTGAGCAAAACCAATGGAAAGAGCTGGAAGATCCTAAAGTATGAGCTCCTGTAATCGCAACATCTGCAGCAACAGTTGTGTACATACACTGTATAAATACAGATACACAGCTTGTTCTTAGCTGCATGACAGAATTTAGGCATCCCAGAAGTGCCATTCATTTCAGTAGAGGCAGAACCATACACACAAAGTCCATGTGCTGATCAACTGCCTTTGTTAAAAAGTGTTAATTCATTTCATGCCTTTTAGTGAAGTACTTTGTATAGAGGGGTCAGAAAATGCTTTAAAATCGCATTTAATGGAGAGCTGGCCCAAGACATCTTGGCAGCTGAGGCAAACCTCAAAATGGTGCCCCCCTGTCTGCCAGGAGGAAGGGTGAAGTAAAGATCTGTATCAGGAATAGAGATCTACACTGGGATCTGCTGTCGTGTGGATTCTGCCTGAGGCAGCCTCACCTTGCCCTGTATATGAGCAGTACCCTGTTTCATATGGGGGAGTCTGCCTCGTATGGCTTATAAGTACTGCTTCTGATCGCTTATACCTTTGTGGTTGAGCTTGTAACCAAAGGTTCATGCCTCAAAAATAAGACACTGGATGCAATGGTCTCTTTAGTGCGCATTGCGTATTTTAATTTGCTTGTTTTGAACATGCTCTGGTTCAATAACAAGCATTTTCCAGAACTAAACCATTCAAGTTACATTTCAGAAGAATTTTGAATAGATGTGCTAGTTGGAAGGGGGGAGGTAAGTAAGATTGTGCCACTTTATTAGGCAACTTTCAAAATAGTATTTCTACACTGCAACAGCCTTGGTATAAATGAAAGATTGTAGCAGTTAGGCACAGAGTAGGAAAATAGCTTCTTGCTGCAATCCATGGTACTTAAGGTAAGTAAGTTTCATCCAATTTTGACATCTTAAATGTGCTATTCCTGCTTTGTTTACATAAACCTGTCTCAAATGCCAAATGGAAGCAAAGCAACAAGACTGTATAAAGTTTTTGTCATAGCGCAAGGACCATCAATACTTCAAAACCAGCAAATCTGGGGATTAATTCCTCCCTCATGGGAAAGATAAAAAGGCAGAAATATTACCACTCTTCCCTTCTTTGGTCTAACATCTATTTTACTCTATCCCTGTAGCTGTTCAGATCAAGTTCTCTCAAATGCTAGAGACGATTAAATGCAGCCTTAGTGGTTCTGGTACTTGCTGCCTATATATTTGATAGGAAAATAATCTTCAGTTCTGTAGAGTTCTGGCAGGCTGTAAGTGTGCTGCGAAGCTGTGGCATGTTTCTGAAAAAGAAGAAAGACATTAGTTCTCCCTCAGCTGGTCGCCAAAGAATTAGATTTTAATTAAATAGCTCCTAACAGATTAAATCAAATTTAAATATATATTGTACAGAATACCTAAGTGGAAGTGGTCTTCTGAGCATCAAAAATATATTTGGGAATTCTGAATATTTCCAATTGCTGCAACAAACTAAAGGTAAAAATTGTTTTAAACACACACACACCCCATTCTCTACTCCTGGTAGCAGCATGAGATCCAAACGAAAGTTGATATAAGTCTAAGCTTGAGTTGCCTGCAGATTTTACTGGTCATGGGAAGAACCAATTTTGTGATGAATTACCTCTTGAACTTTTGTTAAATTACTGAAAATCAAGTAAACTTATGTTTGATTTGGTGCAGAAGAAGATGGCACCTATCCTGGTGGCAAGTCCTTCAAGCAACTCAAATCTTGCTGCCTTTGCTTTGTATCAGCCCTACCTCTTAAGCTGTGGATGTATCAAGTTATGTTGTACCTTTTGAAAGCTTTTGTTTTGTAAATGTATCACACTCAATACATTTAAGCTCTCGGGTCTTTGTTCCAATGCTGTGCTAGCATTTAAACGGTAAATTAACACTTAAATCTTTCTGTGAGTGAAAGACCTTTCTGGCTTTTAGGCAAGTAACTTGGGGAAAGTGATTGCTAGAGAACTGAGTTTGTATTAGCTTGGCAAACATGGGTTTTTCGGATTCTAATGCCCCCACCGGCAGACTTGGAAGCAGAATGAAATACTCCTCTTAATCCCCCACCCCCAACAAACTGGACCATGTGAGGCCTGGACTGACTGCTGACAGGAAGATGCAGGTCAATGCATCCTTATTTCAGTCTGACCATTTGGAATTAATGACTTTCTGAACTTGGCCTGTGGGGCATCTGCATCCTTGTCACAGTACCAAGCTTCATCAGACCAGGCTAATATAACCTAATGTTTTCCCCCCCAAAATGTGGCCAGTCAGATACTAAGCTCACAAGCAGGGTGTGAAGGCAATAGCCGTCTCCAGTTGTCTGTCCCCAGCACTATCTGCCTCTGAAGTAAAAAAAAAGGTTCTGTTCTGTTCTGTTGTATGATAACTCAAAACTCTTCTGCTTTCATTTACATATAAAACTGAAAGGATGGGTAAGTGTTTAGAAGGGGTTGGTTCTGGATTGACAGGATGGGGGGGGGATTCCTAATTCTTGTGCGCTGCTCAAATGGCAAATGTGAGTCTGGAAGCACATTTTTAGGCATGTTTACCTGGAAATAAGTCAAACTGTGTTTTGCTGGACTTCCTAGTAATTAGATTCAGGATTGCAGCTTTCAGACTTTATGAAACTTCAGTCCAAGAAAGAAGCTTAACAAGATACTTGAGGACAAGAGAACTGAGGCACCAGGTAGAGAAATCTGCTATACTGCCAGCTGTCGGTGAAAGCCTATTAGGAGGGTCTTCTATTCTTAATCTCCACCTCCAGAAACTGGGCAGGGGGAAAGGAATGAATAGTCAACAGGCCCTTTGTATCTTTACTGTCTCCTCTTCAACTTTTAGTTACTGATGGCTTCCTCAACAAAAACCCTTAGCATTTCTCCCCAGACACATATTTTTTAAATGCAATTCATTCTGAATTTCACTTTGCCATTCCCATCTCCCTAGGTCGGTGGAGACTACCACAAATCCTAGACCTGTATAATTAAAAAATCCATATTTTATATATATATATATATGAAGAAAAAAATAAATTCCATTTAGCCATGCAGAAGCACTCTCCTAACAGCCAGAGGTCCATAATGATTACACATCTCAGTGGAATTTAAGGCATTTGATTCAGCTATAAAGTTGGAACAGGTTGATATCAAACTTGACCCTCCCACTAGCAAGGAAATCGTAGCTGTGGCAAGGTAGGCGACTGCTTGAATAACATTCCCTAACCTTACAAGGAAATCCATTAATGGCCGTTTCTCCAGTGGTTCCAGAGTGGGACAGTTTTAACTTCTGGAGAAGTACCTCCATTGTAGCAAAGTGACACCAAGGACCTCACCTAAGTGCCCAGCCCAGCAGGTAGCTTTCTTTCATTTGTGCATCAGAGAGAGACCCTTTCTGACAGAGACACTGGCTATGTGTTTGGTTGAACCTCCAAAGCCTGAGCGCGTTCCTGAATTCAGATGGCCGCCTTCTGGTATAGTTAGTTTCTCGTGCTTGGCAAGAAACCTTCAACGCGGAGCAGGAATGCAAGTGGCTGGCACCAGAGCCAAAAAGGCTGGTGAGCACTGCAGTTCCTTTGCAGCTCTTTGCTGATCTCCAGCTTTGCATCCGTGGTGAGGCAAAGTTGCTCCGTCACGGCAACCTGCCTTTCGCATTGCATGGCTGCACTTCCCATCATTGCACAGAGCCTCCCTGAAATGCTGCAGAGGAGGTTTAACTGATAGTGGCACATCTCCGTCACACAGTTTGAGAGCCAACACCCCCACCCCTGGCTCATCAGCCTCAAAATGGCATCGCGCCACAGCTCAGTGGAGGCTGTTGCACATCAGCACTGAAACCAGCATCTAGTGGCTTCCTCCTGACGTTTTCTCTTGGTGACTCAGAGTCAGCAAGTGCACGGGAGGATTGCTGGTCTCGGCTTTTTCCCTTCCATGCAGCCCTCCTTCTCACTGAGGTGCCGGATCAAAAATGTGGAAAGAGCACCTCTGCAGTACTGAGGCTTAATTAAATGTGATAAAGAACGCCAGCACACTTCCCCTTCCCCTCTGGAGGCCCAAGTTTGGAGTATGACCAGTGTCTGCACCCAAAGGGCAGCAGCTCAGATCAGAACAACATGGAAAGGACAGGTAGCCCTGTGTAGCTTCTGAAGTGAAGAAAATGGAGATGAGTAGCAGCTACCAGGCTCCCTCTTCAAAGCAAGCTGGCTGATCTCTCTGAAAAGCAGCAGTACTGCTACTCAGGAGCTGAGCCATAGGTTGGAATAAGTTTTTTTCCCCTTTATAATGCTATTTTTGTGTTCAAACAACTAACAAGATCGGGTACTATCCCCCTTATTGCCTAAAGATCACACCGTTCTTTTCATTAAAGCATTAAGGTTACCAGTTAACCATAGTTTCATTCTGCTGGTCCAGCTTCCCTATTCTTCTAGCAAGTTGAAGGGAATGGATGCATTTTGTTACCTATCCATCTTAAAGCAGCACTGGCCTACAGGTGACTCCTCCCTCTGTTGCTGGCATTTCATCAGCCAGCGCAGCCAGTGGTCAGGGATGGATGATGGGAATTGTAGTCCAACATCTAGAGGGCTGGTTGTTCCCACCCTCATGTAAGGTAAGCCAACTGGTAGAATGAGTGCCAAAAGGCTTTTCTGAGCCCAGTACACTGTACATGGATTGCATGTTCTGCATTCACAAATGACACAGATTTGCATACTATTTGCCATATGCAAATTTGCACCCTCTTCTGCGGGTGGAGCTGGGCCACACAGAAGGAAGTGCTTTGGTAGACACAATGTTGACAGGTGTCTACCAGGAAAGGTTTCCTTTGCCTAATTTGTGCTTGCCACACTGCTGCTAGAGGCACAGGAGCCCTGCTTTCCACACTAAAACATGCAAAGAACAAGTAAAGAGAAAAAGCAACAAACTATTTGGGCAACCTGGTAATACATTTTTTAAAAATAACTGTATATGTGTAATATAGCATCCACAGGCAAAAAAGATGATGAGACACCAGAAATAAAAACACAAAGCCAGGTAGATTAGCACCCCCCCTCCTGATTGCTACATTCCACTTGTGATACTGTACAGCAGAGCACAACTAAAAACCAGCTTGTCAACCTTGAGAAACAACAGTCTGAGCAAACGCAGTTTCACATTCTAAACTCACTTTCTGCCATGAACCAGCCACCAACTCTCATAACAGGAGGAAGCATACAATGGCTGCAATTCTAGCCCCGCTTAACTGGGAGGAAGCTCCACTAGCTTCAACAGGATTTACTTCTGAGTAGAACTGGTTAGGCCTACACTCTATCACAGGGATCTAATTTTAGTCCTTTTAACCAGACAGATGCTTCTTTGTACTAGGGAGTGTTTTTTTTACCCTCCACCCATGAAGCTCCAAGACTTCAAGCAAACTTAATCTGACCTGGTTGTTGTGTGTTTACTAAGATGCACAAGTCCCACTTGTATTCAGCTGAGCTTATTCCCAGGTTGGTGTGCACAGGAGACTGATTCCTAAGAGGAGTCACCTTAGGCCAGTCACTGGTGTTGGGAGACCAAGGAAAGCAAAACACTCTGCTTTTTAGTTTTTACTATTTGCCCTTTACTGGTAAAATAGAGGAAGGAAAAGCACATCTGATCAACATCTTTCCTAACAGCTTGCTAAAAAAATAAAAGTTATTCCTACTTTTCCAGTGTTCTGCCCCAGTGGCAAAGCCATAGGATTTTTAAAATGTTAGATTAATTTTTTTGTTAGAATTATTACATGCCTTTCTTTATAGCATAACTTTAGAACTATATTTAAGTTCTGCTTTGTAGTAATACTGAACCCTTTTGCCCCTTACAAGAAAGCCAAGACCGCAATCCTGTACCCACTTATCTGGGAGTAAGTCCTGCTAAAGGGCAAAGGAAGATGAGGGGAAATAGTAGATCTTTAAACTGCAGATATTTCAAAGGGAAGAAAATGAGCCAGAACCAGGAAATTGTACTTGATGGGGAAACAGCAGCTCTTTAATATCCCAGGCATTCCAACCAGGCCCCCTTGCAGTCCAGGCCCCCTGCTAGTCCAGCACATCATTGCCCTCTTACCTGCCTCTCAGCAGCCATGAGGGGCAGAATTCACACGTTTACCACCAGGCATTTTCAGGGGGGAGGGAGAGAGAGAGAGGTACTTCTGCCTGAGATGCCAATGTTGCTGATAGCCATGAGTCAATATTACACTATATGGGCCATTGTAAAAGCCATTCCTTGTATCTTTTTTATTAGTATTATTTCATAGAATTGTAGAGTAGGAA